GAAAGGCATTACGAATCCTGATATATTTTCCACCTGAGATCATGTAACATTTTTCCCGCTCCTTTCATGTTTGTTCCTGTATCTGTTGGCCTTGATGTTTGGCACAACATTCATCCACAACACTATCTAAATTGTAGTTTATGTTGGAAAATTCACTGCTGTGAATGTGTTTTGATACAAAAAAAGACAATCACTTGATACTAATCATCTTCAGTTTTATGTGTGAATGAACTATGCTTTTTCGTTGTCCAACTATTCTGAAAATGACAGAAGCAATAGACGAACTAAAAACAGTGGTGGAAAGACGAACAAGGCAGGACGAAATCCTGATACAGAACAGAGGCACACTGAGCTGAAGCATGCAACGTAAGAGGATAAGGAAAAAGGTATTCAAAACTAGTATGAAGTAATACAACCCTCACTGAAGGTAAGCCTGACAGAAAATAAAAGTTAAGCTGTGCCGAGGAAAATTCTTTGATTATTTAGCGCCAATGATTTCCAACTACTGATTTCTAAGATAATATACACGTTAGTTTCAGTCTGGACGATGTTACAGGCCGAAAAAGTGTTTGGAATTATTTTCCTGAAGCATAACGCCTTGCTCATCCTTGTTTTTCGTTATCCCGTAAAGATGCAACTAAAACTAGTCAGATTCATAAACAGAGACGTATTTGTTGAAGTTGAATTCTTATTACAGAATGAAAATAGAATATTTTTAACTGATTCTGCCCTACCTTAGAAACCAATCTAACCACTAAAGAAACTTCAAAGCACAAACAAAATATAAAAAATAAAAACAATATTATTCCTCGCCGGAATCAGAGAGACGAAATAACGCCGGTTGATGAAAGCCTTCACAAAGCCATTCGGCCGATGTGTCTACTCTCCCTCGATGAAAGAGAAAGTAAACATGGGGACATAGAATGTCCACACCATGTTTGAACCTAGCAAGGCTGCCCAGATCGCAGACGAGATGAGAAGGTATCGCACTGAAGTGTCAGGAATTTGCAAAAGCAGATGGAATGGAAGTGGACTCTCCAAACTCTCAACTGGAGAGTCAATAATCTACTCCGATATTGTCAACCAGACGACAACCATGAGTACACTGAGTATTGGAGTGGTTATCGTGATGTCCCCAATAGCATCGAAGGCTTTCTCTTATGCAGTGGGAACTAATCTCCTCCAGGATCAGGATCATGACAGCAAGGTTCAACTCAAAAGGAAGGAAGGAAGGTCACAATCATACAATGCTACGCTACTCACCTACAAATAATGCAGATGAAGAGAAGAAAGAGGAATTTTATAGACAACTACAATCAGCACTGGAAAAGACCTCAGTTGGTGACATCAAAATTGTAATGGGCGATATAAATGCCAAACTGGGAGGGGACAACACAAGAAGAGAACTCATCATGGGTCTAGAGCCACTCAGTGAGGTGATGAACGAGAATGAAGAATTGTTTGCAGAATTCTGCGCATTCAACGATTTGGTGATTACAGGCAGTGTGTTCAAGCACAAGGATATCCACAAAGTGACATGGATTTGATTTCACTCTATGGACACAATGAAAATTAGATCGATTTCATTTCAGTGTCACGAAAGTGGAGACGCAGCCTACTTGACACAATGTCAAGAAGAGGAGCAGATGTAGGTTCAGACCACTCACTATCTAGTGCAAGGAACCTACCTTCCAAATCAAGTTGAAAGCCTTCACAGAAGTTGGTGATAGACCACAGTTCAAGATCAACACCCACAACAGAATCTGAAGGACGAAATACCAGGGACATCTTCACGGCAGCCATCAATACAAAATGGGAGATATCGAGCAACATCCCTGGAGAAACCTGTGTGGATGAGCACTGGAACTCCTTGGAAGTTATGTGGAAAGAAACCTGCATAAGCGTATTAGGAAGGAAGAAGAAAGAAGACAGGAAGAGGAATGGATCTCGATGAACATATGGAAGCTGGTAGAGGTCGGGGGGGGGGAAGAGGGTGGTGAATCAGAAGATAAACCAGTGCAGTGCAAGGATGAATGACGAGAAGAGGATCTGAGTACAATATATAAAACAATACACTGGACAAAGAAGTGAAGAAGAGTGCACGGAAGGACAAAAGACACTTCTACGATACACTAACAAGTGAAGCAGAACAGGCTGCAGGTAGGAGTGATAGAGAACTGACAAAATTATATCTAATAACCAAGTTAGAATGTGGGAGGGAAGAGATCAGTACAGATGAAACCAATAAAAGATGATGAAGGAAATCTAATTACCAAAGAAGAGAAAGAAAGGAAACGATGTGCTGATCACTTCGAAAAGCACTTGAATCGACCACTCCCTGCGGTTCTTCCAGAAACACCACCTGCAGCCGCTGAACTACAAGTGAACATAAATCCTCCAACAAACGTGGAAGTTCTGGGCAGCATAAAGTTACTGAGATGTGGGAAAGCAGCAGGACCAGATGGAATCCCACCAGAAGCACTGAGAGCAGACGCAGAGACAACAGCGGACATGCTCACACCACACCACTATTGCAGAAGGCCTGGAAGGAAGGAAAGGTACCTGGCCACTGGTTGAAAGAAGAACTATCTTATCAAACTGCCGAAGGAGGGAGACCTCAGTGTTTGCAAGAACTGGCGCGGAATCACACTCCTATCACTGTCCACCCAAAGCAAGCAAAATATTATGGCGCATCATCCTGGAGAGACTAAAGGATGCACTGGATTCAACACTACTTCCGAAACAGGCTGGCTCCAGGAAGTACAAATCATGGGCGGGTCAAAAAACAATGTTATCCATCATCATAGAACAGAGTATAGAATGGCAGTCAACCCTCTATCTTACCTCAACTTCATCGACTTTGAGAAGGCCTTTGACAGCGTCGACCGAGAAGTAATTTGTCAGTTGCTTCAACACTACGGAATACCACAAACCTATATCAATCTCATTCAACAACTATATGAAGACGCCATATGCGAGGTGATTCTCAATGAGAAGCTCAGTGTCGCTTTTGAAGTCAAGGCAGGCAGGAATAAGACAAGGCTGTCTACTATCACCGATTATCTTCCTGATTGTGGCTGACTGAACTGGATCATGTAACAAAAAGTGAGGCGAGAGAAGAAGGAGATACAATGGCTGGATGGCAGTAAAGAACCTAGAAGATTTGGATTTCGCCAACGATGACTTATGTCTAATGTCACACAAACTTGAAGATCTACAGGTAAAAACTAACAAGTTGACAGGAGATGCAGGGCAGGGCAGGGCAGTGAAGACGGGACTTCCTTCAGGTGAACGTAGAGAAGACAGAGGTGATGAAGAAACCCAACCAACACCACCACCACCAACAACAACCTCTTATCACCATCAATGGGAGAAACTTAAAGGAAGCAGCCTCTTTCACCTATGTAGGAAGCACTGTTCCAACTACACGCGGCACAGAAGACGATGTCAAAGCCAGAATCAGAAAAGCAAGACAGGCGTTCATTAGCCTGAAATCAGTGTCGAGATCTTCTGCACTGCACTCAGCATGTGCAACAAGATACGGATTTTCAACACCAACACAGTCAAATCAGTGCTTCTATGTGATGGTTTAGAAACTTGGAGCGTTACGAAAGGGATTTCCAACAAACTACAGACACTCATCAACAACTGCCTACGCTGCCCCATTACTGAATATCGGATAGATGGCCAGAAAGAATGAGCAACAAGGAACTCTGGCCTGGTAACGAACCAACCAAGAACCTATCACCCAACAGATATTCAGAAGGAAGTGGAGATGGATTGGGCATACACTGAGAAGGCCGACCGAGGGCATCACGCGTCAGGCACTCGAGTGGAATCCCCATGGGAAGCGACGAGTTGGGCGTCCCAGCTGTGGGTGACATGGAGGAGATGATGTGAGGAAGAAATGAGAGCTTGTGGGCTGTTGTGGAACCAGGTTCAAAAGTTTGCAGAGAGTGCAGAGAGTGCACTGGAGACGTGCTAATGAAGCCCTATGTTCCACTAGGAACCCAAGAGACTAATAATGATAATTATTATCTATACTTCTATTTTTCTTCAATTACAAACCACAGTAGTGTTATGCTGGTTAGCTCTTTCAAAGTATTCTTACCTGGAGTTCATCTGTGAACTTCACTCCACATACTTTTCATAAAGTAAGTGATTCAGATATACAGGTTTCTGTAAGAAAGTAAAATTGCCATCATGTTTTGCTATCTAAGAGTGCAACGAGGGTGTAGAAACTTCTAGGTAAACTCTTCATAACAGAAACTTCAGTAACATACAATCTTACAAAATTAATATAACACAAACGAAGGGAGCAGGCTGTGATGTTTATGCTCAATTATACCCGATGTCAACTGACTCATTTCTGATGTAATGGTAAGTGTGAAAAAGCCTAAAAACATTCAACAAGAATAAAGAGATTATAAGTCCTTAACATTAAAATTTTCTCCTGCTTGTTGCTTATAATTTTCCACTTTTGTTATAATAAAGGCTTTTCAAACTGATTATATAACTTCTCTTTATTTTCGGCTTAGTACCAGCTTACTTTTACAATAAGAAAAATGGCGGACAGTTGAGTTATTTCCGATATTATAACATATTTTCGAATGGAAACCCGTAAAGTTGTGAAAACGATGATATTAACTTAGGGATCCAAATCACATAACACATATCATCTTACAGGATTTTAAGCCAGATAAGGGAGTTAACTAGAAGAGGAAGGTATCGACTACGTTTGATAATGATCATAAAAGTTGATCAAGGCAAGGAGACTAAAAAGTATCATAATTAAGAAAACGATCACTACGTAAATTTTAATTTCAACCTTTGAACCACAAGTGATCCGTACTAGGCATTCAAAATCCTCAGTTAAAATAATGACTTCATCAGAATGTACACTTACTTTTTTAACAAGAAAAGTATAATGATTATATATTCTGATTATTATTAGTAGTGGTAGTAGTTATTTTATTTAACTAATAAAGTAATTTACTCACCTTCTTTAACCATACCAACTTTCAAGCACTTCTGAAATCGACAATACTGACATCGATTACGTCTCCTTTTATCAACTACACAGTTTTTAGCTTGAAGACATACATACTGAGCATTTTTTTGAATTGTTCGCTAGATCCAAATAAATAACATAACAGTAAACAGTTATTATTTTATAAGTTCGATACAAACTGAATAAAGTATGTGTTAAACATAAATATATAAGGAAATGAATAGGTTGTGCAATAAATGTTACTATCCAAAATTTATCACAATTACAATCTTGTCAGATGTAAAAATGAAAGTTATTGATTTCAGTAACTAAGTGTACGTATAGGACTAAAAATAACTGGGTGTTAACCATTGTTCATTATATACAGTCCTTTAGGCAATGACTATAGTTCATTTTTACTGAAGCCAACTATTATTAAGCATGGGATTAGCCACTTACTATGATATTTCTGTCTAGAAATTTTACATAAACTCCAAAAAGTAGTAAATAACAATTTGTGAGTAAATATTCGGTCGACAGTTAGGTGATTCTAAATGTTTTATTTCGTAAGATTTATCACATTTCATGCTCATAAATTATATAAATTTTTAATAGAGTCTAAAGTATACCTTTAACCTCGCCTGGTTAACTAGTTTACTAGTTACTAGCCGGTCCTAAGCCCGGGTAAAGAGGGAAGGTTGGGCATAGGGCTAGCAACCCTACCCCGTAAAACAAATCTAACCGCTAAAGAAACTTCAAAGCACAAACAAAATATAAAAAATGAAAACAAACTTATTCCCCGCTGGAATCGGAGAGGCGAAATGACGCCAGTTGGTGAAAGCCTTCGGGAAGCCAATTGGCCGATGTGTCTTCTCTCGATGAAAGCGAAAGTAAACGTGGGGACATGGAATGTCCGCACGATGTTTGAACCCAGTAAGGCAGCCCAGATTGCAAAGGAGATGAGAAGGTATAACATCGAAGTGCTTGGGATTTGCGAAAGCAGATGGAATGGGAGTGGACTCTCCAAACTGTCAACTGGAGAATCAATAATCTACTCCGGTCACCCAGACGCCAACCACGAGCACACTGAGGGAGTGGCTATCATGATGTCCTCAAGAGCATCGAAGGCTCTCATGCAGTGGGAACCAATCTCCTCCAGGATCATGACAGCAAGATTCAACTCAAAAGGAAGAAAGGTCACAATCATACAATGTTATGCACCTACAAATAATGCAGAGCAAGAGAAAAAGGAGGAATTCTACAGACAACTTCAGTCAACACTGGACAAGACGTCAGTTGGCGATATCAAAATTCTAATGGGCGACATGAATGCCAAACTGGGAGGGGACAACACGGGAAGAGAACTAACCATGGGTCGAGAGGCGCTAGGTGAAATGAATGAGAATGGAGAATTGTTTGCAGAATTCTGTGCATTCAACGATTTGGTGATTGGAGGCAGTGTGTTCAGGCACAAGGATATCCACAAAGCGACATGGATTTCACCAGATGGACACACTAAAAACCAAATCGACTTTATCTCAATCTCAAGAAAATGGAGACGCAGTCTACTTAACACAAGGTCAAGAAGAGGAGCAGATGTAGGTTCAGACCACTATCTAGTGCAAGGAACCTTCGAAATCAAGTTAAAAGCCTTCAAGGAAGCTGGTGATAGACCTCAATTCAAGTACAACACTCGGAAACTGAAGGATGAAACTACAAAGGAGATCTTCAAAGCAGCCATCAAGACAAAATGGGAGACGTCGAGGGACATCCCTGAAGAAACCTGTGTAGAAGAACACTGGAAGTCTTTGAAAGCTATGTGGAAAGAAACCTGCACAACAGTATTAGGAAGGAAGAAGAAAGAAGACAAGGAATGGATCTCGACGGATACCTGGAAGCTGATAGAGGAGAGGAGGATGGTGAAGCAGAAGATAAACCAGTGCAAGGATGCTCAACGACAAGAGGAACTGAGCACAATGTATAAAACACTGGATAAAGAAGTGAAGAAGAGTGCACGCAAAGACAAACGACACTTCTACGACACACTGGCAAGTGAAGCAGAACAGGCTGCAGGTAAGAGAGACCTGACGACATTGTATCAAATAACCAGGTTGCTATCAGGGAAGAGACCAACACAGATGAAACCAATAAAAGATGAAGAAGGAAATTTAATTACAAAAGAAGAGAAACAGAGGAAACGATGGGCCGACCACTTCAAGAAGCTCTTGAATCGACCACCACCTGCACTTCGTCCAGAAATACCACCTGCAGCCGCTGAATTACAAGTGAACATAAATCCCCCAACGAAAATGGAAGTCCTGAACGCCATAAAGCTACTGAAATGCGGGAAAGCAGCAGGACCAGATGGAATACCGCCAGAAGCACTGAGAACAGATGCAGAGACAACAGCGGACATGCTCACACCACTATTGCAGAAGGTGTGGAGGGAAGAGAAGGTACCTGACGATTGGAAGAAGGGTTACCTTGTCAAACTGCCGAAGAAGGGAGACCTCAGTGCTTGCAAGAACTGGCGAGGAATCACTCTCCTATCCACCCCAAGTAAAATATTAAGCCGCATCATCCTGGAGAGGCTTAAAGACGCACTGGATTCAAAACTGCGACCGGAACAGGCAGGCTTCAGGAAGTACAAATCATGTGCTGACCAAATTGCAACGCTTCGTATCATCATAGAACAGAGCGTAGAATGGCAATCAGCTCTATACCTCAACTTCATCGACTTTGAGAAGGCCTTTGACAGCGTCGACCGAGAAGTAATTTGGAAACTGCTTCAATACTACGGAGTACCGCAAACCTTTATCCGCCTCATTCAACAACTATATGAAGATGCCACATGCCAAGTAATCCACAATGGGAAGCTCAGTGATGCCTTTGAAGTGAAGACAGGAGTGAAACAAGGTTGCCTACTATCCCCCATGATATTCCTAATTGTGGTGGACTGGATCATGCAGCAAACAGTAGGCAGCGAGAAGAGGGGGATACACTGGACGACGGAAAAGAACCTAGAAGACTTGGATTTCGCCGATGACTTATGCCTAATGTCACATAAACTTGAAGATCTGCAGGCAAAAACTAACAAGTTGACAGAGGAGGCAGCTAAGACGGGACTTCAGGTGAATATAGAGAAGACAGAAGTGATGAAGATACCGCACCACCACCATCAACAACAACAACAAACTCCAATCACCGTCAACGGTAGAAACTTGAAGGAAGTAACCTCCTTCACTTATCTAGGAAGCACTGTTTCAACTACAGGCGGGACGGACGAGGACGTCAAAGTCAGAATCGGAAAAGCAAGACAGGCATTCATTAGCCTGAAACCAGTGTGGAGATCTTCTGCACTCAGCATGCGGAACAAGATACGGATTTTCAACACCAACGTCAAGTCAGTGCTCTTGTATGGCTCAGAGACTTGGCGCGTCACGAAAGGCATTTCCAATAAACTACAGACATTCATCAACAACTGCTTACGCTCGCTGCTGAAGATCAGATGGCCAGAAAAAATAAGCAACAAGGAACTCTGGGAACGAACCAACCAAGAACCTATCACGCAACAAATATGCAGGAAGAAGTGGAGATGGATTGGGCATACACTGAGAAGGCCGACTGAGGACATCACGCGTCAGGCCCTCGAGTGGAATCCCCATGGGAAGCGACGAGTTGGACGTCCGAGGGTGACATGGAGGAGGTCGTGCGAGGAGGAAATGAGAGCTTCTGGGCTGTCGTGGAACCAGGTTCAAAAGATCTCAGAGAACAGAGGTCACTGGAGGCGTGCTACTGAAGCCCTATGTTCCACTAGGAACCCAAGGGACTAATAATAATAATAATAATAAAGTATATCTTTAAAGTTAAACCCAGTTTTCTACTGGAACGTTTTTAAGTATCGACTATCTTGGTTAGCTCTTAATGTAAATTGTTATTTTGAACTTATTTGTGTAAGACAAACCGATCATAGATAGACAGATTCGACTATAAATAGCTTCATGGTAACCTCTTTAAATAAACTAATTGCAGATTCATGAAAAATGATATTATTCCTGTAGATTAACTTCTGTTTGTAGATATTGCATCGGAAGTATTCGAAGTCAATATACCCAACGCATATTCTGGCATCTCAAACTTGTTTGGTCCTAAAGATAAAATTCGGAATGTACCTAACTATCCAGTACATTCAAGCTGTTAGTATATTTGTGCAAACTGTTTTATAAAAGTGAAGTCATTATTTCTTTATAAAATGTACAGAAAAATATCTTTCTGAAATGTTTTAGCTGTATGGCATTCTAAACGACAGAATTCCGCAGCGTCCTACTTAAACATTTACAAGTTATGAAAATGAAATTCGGACTTTGTGGTTCGTTTATATCGATGTCAGGGTTTCTAGTGTTCAGGGATAAAATTACCTTTTGAATAACTTCGGTTGTTAGTCCATCTGTTCCTCAAAATATTTCCCTATTGATGAAATTTTGAACTAAATGATACTTGAGCCTGAACGGATACTCATTCAGCCTTAATTTGAACTAGTCATCATATGGGTTTAAACATGGTAAGCAACCTCAGAATAAACGTGAACCTAGACTGAATAACTTACAATGAACGTTCCCATTGATACATTTAAGCTAAAAAAACTAAACTAATCAAAGTTAACTTCTATTCTGTAATTGTATCTCAACAAACTTCGGAAATTAAGGTCAAACATCTGCATAAACCTAAAAAACAAAGTAAAATACGACATGCATAGGTTTCTTAAATATCCAACCAACCTCTTGGCTATACAAATATCAGAGACATTCAAGGTAGTATATTATATTTAAAACGGAAACAAATATGCTTTTAATAATAATAATTATTATTAGTCTCTTGGGTTCCTAGTGGAAAATAAGGCTTCAGTAGCACGTCTCCAGTGCACTCTCTGCACTCTCTGCAAACGTTTGAACCTGGTTCCACAACAGCCCACAAGCTCTCATTTCTTCCTCACATCATCTCCTCCATGTCACCCACAGCTGGGACGCCCAACTCGTCGCTTCCCATGGGATTCCACTCGAGTGCCTGGCCTGACGCGTGATGCCCTCGGTCGGTCTTCTCAGTGTATGCCCAATCCATCTCCATTTCCTTCCACTGCATA